TGGGGAAAAGAGGATAGGTAAAGGGAAATGAGGGCAGAGGGAATGGGGAAAAGGGGATAGGTAAAAGGAAATGAGGGAAAAGGGAATGGGGAAAAGGGAATGGGGAAAAGGGAATGGGGAAAAGAGGAAAGCATGATGGGGAGAAAGAGATAGGAAATGGGAGATGAGGGAAAAGGGAATGGGGAAAGTGGGATGGGGAAAGGAGAATAAAGGAAAAGGAAATGGGTGAAATGGGAGACGGAAAGGGAATGGGAGAAATGGGGATGAGAACAGGGCAAGGAAAGGGAAGACAAAAGGGAGTGAGGAAGGTGAGGAAGGGGAAGGAAAAAGTGGATAGGGCTCACCCTGTCCCTCTAGAACCCTTCTGCCAATTTCCTGCAGGAGCCCAGCTCCACATCCCAACCAAGCCAAGCCAGCCACGACCCCACACACCCCTCAGCACCCTCCCAGCTCCCCCAAAACCTCACTCCTCCTGCTCCTTCTCCTCCAGCGTCCTCCTCTTCTCCATCAGGTCCCCGTAGAACCGCGACTGCTCCCGTTTCTGCTGCTTCAGGTCGATGCCGGCGATGAAGCCACGGCCCAGCAGCTGCACCTGGTGCCTCTCCTTGTACCTGGAGCAGGATGGGAGCGTCAGGAGCAGGCCTTGCACCCTGCAGGGACACCCCCAGCCCTAGGGGCACCCCAGCACTCACAGGGGGTTGTAGTCGATGGACGTGTCCTCCGACGCGTCCCACTCGAACACGAACTTGCGGTCGTTGAGGTGCCGCGTGCGCCGCCGCTTCTTCACCCCCCCCAGGTACCGCTCCTGCAGGACCCCAGGCTCAGTGGGACCCCTCATCTTCCCCCCAGCCCCCCTGGACCAGCCCCCAGCCCCACCTTGATGGCGTGGAGCTCTTTGCTTTTATCCTTCTCCTCCCGGATCTTCTGCCTGCCCTCCTCGTCCTCGGTGCCGTTGGTCTCCCGCTCCATGCGCTCGCGGCGCTCCCGGCGCTCGCGCTCCTGGGGGTCTTCTGGGGAGCAGGGGAAGGGGCTCAGAGCCAGCACCCACCCCTAGGGCTGGGTGAGGGGCTCCAGGGATGAATTCTTACCCAGCATCTTCCTGCCCATCTCCTGGAATTGTTTCCTTTTCTTCCTCTCCTCCTCCAGCAGCCGCTGCCGCTCCTCCACCTCCTGCTGCCGCCTCCGCAGGGCCTCGGCCTCCCGCTCCGCCTTGGACAGGAACTTGGGCTGGCATGGGAGAGAGGCAACGTCACACTGGGCCTGCCTGCCACCCTCTGTGCTGCTGGGGTACCCTCAGCCTTCTCTGTTCCTTTCTGGAGCCCTCCAGGCCTCCTCTCTTCCTCCTGTCTATCTCTGGATCACTCAGATCTCTCCACTCCCTGCCAGGGTTCTCTCTGCTCCCTCCCCGTGTCCCCCAGCCCTCCTTTCCCTCCTAGGGTCCCTCTGTGCCTCTCACACTTCCCTGTTCCCTCCCAAGGTCCTTCTGCTCTCTCCTGGGGGTCCACCAGGCCTTCCCTCTCCCTCCCCTGTCTCCACAGCCCCCCATGTGCCCTCCCAAGTCCCCCAGCCCTCCCTGCTCCATCCCATGATCCCTCCTGGTGTCCCCTGGCACTTCCTGCTTCCTTCTGGGGTCCCTCTGCATCCCCAAGTTTCTCAGCCCTCCCTTGTTCCCCCCTGGGTCCCCCACAAACATCCACACCCCCAGCAGAGGGAAGAGGCTCCTGTTGCTTCTCCTACCTTGGCTTCTGCCTCCTCTTCTGCCTTCTTCTTTGCCAGCAGCTCCTCCAAGGACAGCGGCTGAGCCTGCAAGTGAGGCCAGATGTCAGCACCACTCCTGGGGACCTGAATCCCCTGGAACCCCTCCCCAGGGACCTGAATCCCCTGGAATCCCTTCCCAGGGACCTGAATCCCCTGGAACCCCTCCCCAGGGACCTGAATCCCCTGAAGCCACTCGTGGGGATCTGAATCCCCTGGAACCCCTCCCCAAGGACCTGGATCCCCCCTGGAATCCCTCCCCAAGGACCTGGATCCCCCTGGAACCCCTCCCCAGGGACCTGAATCCCCTGGAGCCACTCGTGGGGACCTGAATCCCCTGGAACCCCTCCCCAAGGACCTGAATCCCCTGGAGCCACTCCTTGGCAGCTGAATCCCCTAGAATGACTCCCCAGGGACCTGAATCCCCCTGGAGCCACTCCTATCCAAGCCCCATCCACCCCCTCTTCACCTTCTCCTTCTTCAGGGCATTTTCCTCCTCTTCCTCTGCTTTCCGTGCCTCCCGATCCTTCCGAGACTTGGAGTCCTTCCCCCTGCCCGGGGACAAACTTCCAAGGAAAACAGCACCAGGAATAAGACACCAAGCACAGCCCTGGGGGATACCCAAGCTCCAGGAGGTTTAGGGGAGAGCAGGAACCCCTCAAAAAAGGTGACAGGACCCACCTGGACCGCTTGCGGTCCTTGTCCCGCCGGTGCCCATCCTTGTCCCGGTCCCGCTCCTTCTTGCCGCGGTCCCGCTCCCGCTCCTTGTGCCGCCGATCCCTGTGGGACAGGGGGGTCCACAGCCCCACGGTGGGGGGTCACAGCACGGCCCCCACAGCCCTCACCCACCCTCTGTGGGGCCCTGCAGTGGTTTTGGTTCGTCAAGTTGAGATTTGGGTTGTTTTGAGACTTCCTGGCCAATGCAGCAGTGAGGGTGGTGGGCTCACTGCTCAGTCCCCAGTGCACTCAATTCCTGCTGTGAGGAAGGGTTAGGAGGAAGGCAAAGCAGGCTCAAAACTTTAAAAGGGAGCCTCTTTATACCCTCTTTAAAATACATAAATACCGATAATAAATTCTTTTATATTCTCTTTAAAAGGATAAAAAGAAAAACTTAGTAACTAAAATAAAAAGTAATAAGAATCAGAACAAAACCTTCACAACATTTCTCCTCCCCACAACCTTTTCTTTCCCATCAAAGCTCTTCCCAAACCCGGAGCCGCCTCACCTCTCGGTGGATTTGGAGCGGGATCGGGACCGGGAGCGGCTCCGCCTCCGCTCCCGGGACCGGTGGCGCTTCCGCTCCTTGGCCGGGGGGGAGCCCTTGCGGTCCCGCTCCCGCTCCCGGTCCCGCTCCGGGGAGCGAGAACGCTTCCTCTCCTCCTTCACCGGGGATGCATCCCGATCCTTCTTGTCGGCCACTTCTCCGGCCATCTGTGGGGAGGGGGACACCGGGAGGGTCGCGGGGGGCACCGGGAGGGAACTTGGGGTGTAGGGCGGGGGGACCCAGGAGGGAGAGAGAAGGGTTGTGAGATACAGGGGGGCCACAGAGGGACCCCAAGAAGGAGTGGGGAGGTCCAAGAGACCACCAGGAGGAAATGGGGAGAGGCCAAAGGAGCCGGGGAGGGAACAGAGAGACGCCGGGAAGAAGCAGGGAGAGCTGGGGGACCCTGGGATGAGCGAAAAGGGAACCCTCGGGAGGGAGAGAGGACCCCGGGAGAGGGCAAAGAGACCCTCAGGAGGGACAGGTGAACCCGGGGAGAGCGAAAAGGGACCCTCGGGAGGGAGAGAGGAACGCGGGGAGAGGGCAAAGGGACCCTCGGGAGGGAGAGAGGAACGCGGGGAGAGGGCAAAGGGACCCTCGGGAGGGAGAGAGGAACGCGGGGAGAGGGCAAAGAGACCCTCAGGAGGGGGGAAATCTTAAAGGGACCCTGAGAAGGGAGAGGGGACCCGGGGTGAGCGCAAAGAGACCTTCAGGAGGGACAGGGGAATGCGGGGAGAGGGCAAAGGGACCCTCGGGAGGGAGAGGGGAACGCGGGGAGAGGGCAAAGAGACCCTCAAGAGGGGGGAAATATTAAAGGGACCCTGAGAAGGGAGAGGGGACCCGGGGTGAGCGCAAAGGGACCCTCGGGAGGGAGAGGGGAACGCGGGGAGAGGGCAAAGGGACCCTCAGGAGGGACAGAGGAATGCGGGGAGAGGGCAAAGGGACCCTCAGGAGGGAGGGGGAGGCCTGGGGGACCCCCGAGAGGACACAGAGGGACCCCAGGAAAGAGCGGGAAGGGTTGGAGAGCCCCGAGGAGAGAAGGCAGAGGGAAGAGAGGACCCCGAGAGGGCACAGGGAGCCCCGGGGGTGGGTGCGGGGAGCCCTGAGGGACCCCGGAAAGGCTCCGGGAGGCCCGGGGGACGCGGCGCAACGGCGCTCCAGGCCCTGCCGCTGGTGCCCAGCACCGGGGCTCTGCCCGGGGCCGCGGCACCAGGGCTCTGCAGCCTCTGTGCCCCTCGCTGGCTCCCTGCAGTGGCCCCCGCTCGCTCCCGCCGCTCCCCGCTCACCGCCGCAGCCCCGGGCTCAGCGCCGCCGCTCCGCCGCCATGTCTGCCGGGCCCGCGGGGCACGCCGGGACGGCGCGGGACTACAGCTCCCGGCAGCCCTCGCGGCATTGGACTACAACTCCCGGCGCCCTCCGCGCTCTCCCGGCGCCCCTGAGCGGGCGCAGTACCTCCGCGCCCCGTGATCCTTCCGCCGCGCGGCAATTCCCCCCGCCCCACGGCAAAGAGTCCCCCGGGACGGTGTCCCCGTGTCCCTGAGCCCCCCACAGCCCGCAGGGACCTCCTTCTTACCCAGATGAGGCCCCTGAGGACGTGTCCCCACAGCCCAGAGCACCCCAAAGCCTTTAGGGACCCTCCCGAGTCAGTGTCCCCCATGTCCCTGCACACCCCAAATCCCACGGGGACCCCCCCAGGTCAGCGGCCCCACAGCCCCGTGCACCCCAAACTCACCAGGGACCCCAAGAGCAGCGTCTCTGAAGGAGCCCCACCCCCCATTCACAAGATCGGGGGGTCCCAGGCAGAGTCTGGGGGCAGAAGAGGTGGGGGGGACCCTTTTGGCACCCCCAAAAGACCCCAAAGCAGGGGTGACAGCTCAGCCCCACAGCAGTGTCGCCATCAGCAGTGACACCGACACATCCCAAAACTCCCAAGAGCCTCCAAAAGCCAGGATCCATCCCCAAAACACAGGGCCAGGCAGGGCTGCACATAGGTAGGTGTTATATTTCTGATAATAAATAAGCTTTTTAATAACACTGACATGGAACAGAGACACCCCCCCTCCCCCAAAATACAGTCCATAAAACAGCCCCCCTCCCCCCTCCCCAACCCACAGGGTCCCCCGGGGCCAAGCAGCAGATGAGGGATGGGGGGAAGGGGGAGAGAACAGGATGAGGCCATGGATGATGTGCACCCCAAAGCCCACAGGGACCCCCGGGACGGCGTCCCCGTGTCCCCCAAAGCCCACAGGGACCGTCCCAGGTGGCATCCCTGAGGGTCTGAGCACCCCAAACCCCCTGGGGATGATGCTCCTGGGGCTCTGAGCACCCCAAACCCCCCGGGGACCCCCCTGGGTTGATGTCCCCAGGGTCCTGAGCACCCCAAACCCCACAAGGACCACCCCAGGTGATGTTCCTGAGGGTCTGAACACCCCAAACCTCACAGGGACCCCCCTGGGTTGATCTCTCTGAGGGTCTGAGCTCCCCAAACCCCACAGGGTTGATGTCCCAAGGCCCCCCAAACCTCCCAGGGCTGCCCCTGAGGTTGATGCCCCCAGGGTTTTGTGACCCCAAACTCCCCCAGGGTTGATGTCCTTGAGGGTCTGAGCACCCCAAACCCCCCGGGGTTGATATTCCTGGGGGTCTGAGCACCCCAAACCCTCCAGGGACCCCTCTGGATTGATGCCCCCAGGGTTTTGTGACCCCAAAAGCCCAAGGGTTGATGTCCCCAGGGTCCTGTACACCCCAAACCTCACAGGGACCCCCCTGGGTTGATCTCTCTGAGGGTCTGAGCTCCCCAAACCCCTCTGGGTCGATGTCCCCAGGGTCCTGTACACCCCAAACCTCACAGGGACCATCCCAGGTGACATCCCTGAGGGTCTGAGCACCCCAAACCCCACAGGGTCGATGTCCCCAGGGTTTTGTGACCCCAAACTCCCCCAGGGTTGATGTCCTTGAGGGTCTGAGCACCCCAAATCCCACAGGGACCCCCCCAGGATGATGTCCCCAGGGTCCTGTGTGCCCCAAACCGCACAAGGACCATCCCAGGTGACATCCTTGAGGGTCTGAGACCCCAAATCCCCCAGGGACCCCCTCAGGGTTGATGTCCCTGAGGGTCTGAGCACCCCAAACCCCTCTGTGTTGATGTCCTCAGGGTCCTGTGTGCCCCAAACCCCCCAGGGACCCCCTCAGGGTTGGGAACCGGGTGAAAACACCCCCCAGACCCCCCTCCCACGGGGGCAGCCCCCCAGGCTGTGGGGCTGGCAGGGCGATGGTGCCATTCCAGGGCATCACCCCTTTATCGGGGGGGACCCCCCGAGCCCTGCCCAGCCCCCCCACCCCATTCCGGGGGGGGGCTCCCAAAGCTGGGTGTGTGTGACATGGAGGGGGGGGAAGGGGGGGTCGTTCCCTTCCCCCCTTCACATGACGGAGCAGCTTTTTGCTTTTTCCTTCTTGAAGGTGGAGGAGATGAGCTCGGAGCGGCTGGGGAGGTGCAGGAGCCGCTTGGAGAGGCTGCGGGGGGGGCTGCGGGGCGGCTGCGGGGGGGCTCTGCTCAGGCAGAGGCCGGACACGGTCCGGAAGATGCTGTGCACGCTCTTCTCCGAGGTGAAAGCCGAGCACTCCAGGTAAGCCTCGGCTCCCAGCTGCCGGGCGGCCGCACAGCCCTGCGGGACAGCGCGGCGTGAGCGGCGGGGAGCCGCCGGGACGGCCCGAGATATCCCGGGACGGCCCGAGATATACCGGGACAGCACGGGGTGAGCGGCAGGAACACACCGGGACGGCCCGAGATATCCCGGGACAGCCCGAGATATCCCGGGACAGCACGGCATGAGCGGCAGGGAGCCGCCGGGACTGCCCGAGATATCGCGGGACAGCATGAGATATACCGGGACAGCATGAGATATACCGGGACAGCATGAGATATACCGGGACAGCATGAGATATACCGGGACAGCATGAGATATACCGGGACAGCATGAGATATACCGGGACAGCACGGGGTGAGCGGCAGGAACCCACCGGGACAGCCCGAGATATCCCAGGACAGCCTGAGATATCCCAGGACAGCCTGAGATATCCTGGGACAGCACAGAGTGAGCGCCAGGAACCCACCGGGACAGCCCGAAATATACTGGGACAGCCCGAGATATCCCAGGACAGCATGGAGCGAGAGCCAGGAACCCACCGGGACACCCCCAAATCCACCCCCATAAACACTGGGACAGCCCAAAGTGAGCCCCACAAACCCATTGGGACAGCCCAAACACACCAGGATATCCTAAAGCGAGCCCCACAAACACCAGAACACCCCAAAATCCACCTCCACAAACACTGGGACAGCCCAAACCCACGGGGACACCCCCAAATCCACCCCCATAAACACTGGGACAGCCCAAACCCACCGGGACACCCCCAAACCCATCGGGATATCCTAAACTTAGCCCTGTGCAAACACCAGGACAGCCCAAACCCACTGGGATGTCCCAAAGTGAGCCCCAAAAACACCAGGACAGCCCCAAAGCCATCGGGACAGCCCAAAGTGAGCCCCAAAAACACTGGGACACCCAAAAATCACCCCCCAAACCACCAGGACCCCCCCAAACCCACCCCCACATCAGACCACTGGGACACCCCAAACTCCCTCCCCTGCAAACACCAGGACCCCCCCAAACCATATCAGACCACCGTGACATCCCAAAAATCACACCCACAATCACTGGGACACCCTAAATCCACCTCCAAAAACACTGGGACACCCCAAAAATCGCCCCCTGCAAACACCAGGATACCCCAAACCCGCTCCCCTGCAAACACCAGGATCCCACCAAACCCACCCCCCCATCAGACCACAGGGAAACCACAAAAATCACCCCCCAAACCACCGGGGACCCCCCCAAACCCACATCAGAACACTGGGACACCTGAAATCCACCCCCACAGCCACCAGGACACCTCAAACTGACCCCAAAAAATAATGGAACACCCCAAAAATCACCCCCTGCAAACACCAGGATACCCCAAACCCGCTCCCCTGCAAACACCAGGACCCCACCCCCAAACCAGACCACTAGAACACCCCAATCCCACCCCCCACAACCACTGGGCCCCCCCAAACCCAGGCAGGCCCCCCAGACCTGCTCGTAGGAGATGGGTGCCTGTTTCTGGTGCGAGAGCTCCAGCAGCGTGCTCAGGTCTGTCCTCAGGTCCGTCTTGCAGCCGATGAGCAGCACCCGCGTGTTGGGGCAATAATCCAGGATTTCTGTCTTCCACTGAGGGGGTCAGGGCACCTCTCAGGGACAGGGGGACCCCAAAAGCCTCTCCCTGTCACCCTACGGGGCTGCTGTGTCCGTGTGCCAGCCCTGACCACACAGAGACACCCCCAGGACAGAGTCCCCCTGTCCCTGAGGCCCCAAACCCCACAGAGATACCCCCAGGAACCCCCCAGACCCCACAGAGATACCCCCAGGAACCCCCCCAGACCCCACAGAGATACCCCCAGAACAGTGTCCCTGCATCCCTGAGTCCTCCAAACCCCACAGGGATACCCCCAGGAACCCCCCAACCCCACAAAGGCACCCCCAGGACATTGTCCCCCTGTCCCTGAGTCCCCCAAACCCCACAGATACCCCTAGACCCCACAGATACCCCCAGGACAGTGTCCCAACATCCCTGAGCCCCCCAAACCCCACAGGAATACCCCAGGAGCCCCCAAACCCCACGGGGACTCCCCTGTCTCAGTCTCCTTGTGTCCCTGAATCCCACAAGCCCCACGGGGACCCCCCAGGCTGGTGTCCCTGCATCCCTGAGCCCCCCAAACCCCACAGATACACCCAGACCCCACAGAGATACCCCCAGGACAGTGTCCCTGCATCTCTGAGCCCCCCAAACCCCACAGAGAGCCCCCAGGCCAAAGTCCCCACATCTCTGAGCCCCCCAAGCCCCCCAGGCTGGTGTCCCCACATCCCTGAGCCCCCAAAACCCTACCAGGGACACTCAGACCGGTATCTCCACATCCTTGAGCCCCCCAAACCCTGTCGGGGACACCGTCCGGGGGTCTGAGCCCCCTCCCCACCTTCTTGGCCGCGCTGTCGAGGGTCTCGGGCCGGCTGACGTCGAAGCAGAGCAGGACGGCGTCCGAGTCGCTGTAGCACAGGGGCCGCACGTTGTCATAGTAGGGAGAGCCTGGGGGGAAAAGGGGGGGTCACCGCTCAGCCCCCCCACCCCCGGGACACGGGAAAGGGGGTCTGGCAAAGGGACACAGCCCCCCGTCCTGCCCAGGGTGGGGGCACGGATCTAGAGACCCCCCAAGAGGGATACAACCCCCCAAAAACAGACACAGCCCCATTCCTGTCCTGAGTGGGGGCATGGCTCTAAAGACCCTCAAAAGGGACAGAGCCCCCCAAAATGGACAGAGCCCCTAAAACAGAGACAGCCCCCGTCCTGACTACAATGGGGGCATGGCTCTAGAGACCCCCAAAAGGCAGAGAGCTCCCCAAAGGGACAGAGCCCCCCAAAATGGACAGAGCCCCTAAAGCAGACACAGCCCCCCCGTCTTGACGGGGGTGGGGACACAGCTCTAGAGACCCCCAAAGGGGACACAGCCCCCCAAAAGGGAGAGAACCCCCCAAAACAGACACAGCCCCATTCCTGCCCGGGGTGGAGACACAACTCTAGAGACCCCCAAAAGGCAGAGAGCTCCCCAAAAGGGACAGAGCCCCCCAAAACGGACAGAGCCCCTAAAACAGAGACAGCCCCCGTCCTGACTACAATGGGGGCATGGCTCTAGAGACCCCCAAAAGGGATAGAACCCCCCAAAACAGACACAGCCCCATTCCTGCCCGGGGTGGAGACACAACTCTAGAGACCCCCAAAAGGCAGAGAGCTCCCCAAAAGGGACAGAGCCCCTAAAACAGACACAGCCCCCGTCCTGACTACAATGGGGGCATGGCTCTAGAGACCCCCAAAAGGGACAGAGGCCCCCCCAAAAGGGACACAGCCCCTAAAGGAGACACAGCCCCATTCCTGCCCAGGGTGGGGACACGGATCTAGAGACCCCAAAAGGTACACAGCCCACCCCCAAACAGACACAGCTCCCCTCCTGCTCAGGGTGGTGGCTCACAGTTCTAGAGACCCTCAAAAAGCATGGAGCCCTCCAAAACAGACACAGCCCCATTCCTGCCCAGGGTGAGAACACAGCTCTAGAGACCCCCAAAAGGGACAGAGCCCCATTCCTGCTTGGGGTAGGGACAAAGGTGTAGGGACCCCAAAAGACACAGCCCCTCATCCGGTCTGGAGTGGGGCCATGGCTCTAGAGACCCCCAAGAGGGACAGAGCCCCCCCAAAACAGACACAGCTCCCCTCCTGCTCAGCATCTGGCCCACAGCTCTAGAGAACCCCAAGAAGGACACAGGGACACAGCTCCAGAGCCCCCCAAAAGGGACACAGCCCCTAAAGCAGACACAGCCCCATTCCTGCCCAGGGTGGGGACACAGCTCTAGAGACCCCCAAAAGGGACAGAGCCCCATTCCTGCTTGGGGTAGGGACCCCAAAAGACACAGCCCCTCATCCAGTCCGGAGTGGGGCCATGGCTCTAGAGACCCCCAAGAGGGACAGAGCCCCCCCAAAACAGACACAGCCCCTAAAACAGACACAGCCCCATTCCAGCCCAGGGTGGGGACACAGCTTAGAGACCCCCAAGAGGAACACAGCTCCCCAAATGGGACACAGCCCCTAAAACAGAGACAGCTCCCGTCCTGAGTAGAGTGGGGGCACGGCTCTAGAGACCCCCAAGAAGGCACAGAGCCCCCCAAAAGGGACACAGCCCCTAAAGCAGACACAGCCCCATTCCTGCCCAGGGTGGGGACACAGCTCTAGAGACCCCCAAAGGGGACACAGTCTCCCAAAAGGACACAGCCCCATTCCTGCCCGGGGTGGGGACACAGCTCCAAAGCCCCCCAAAAGGGACAGAGCCCCTAAAGCAGACACAGCCCCACTCCTGCCCGGGGGGGGGACACAGGTCTAGAGACCCCCAAAGGGACAGAGCCCCCCAATAGGGACACGGCCCCTAAAGCAGACACAGCCCCACTCCTGCCCGGGGGGGGGACACAGGTCTAGAGACCCCCAAAGGGACAGAGCCCCCCAAAAGGGACAGAGCCCCTAAAGCAGACACAGCCCCACTCCTGCCCGGGGTGGGGACACAGCTCTAGAGACCCCCAAAGGGACAGAGCCCCCCAATAGGGACACAGCCCCTAAAGCAGACACAGCCCCATTCCTACCCGGGGTGGGGACACAGCTCGAGACCCCCAAAATGGACACAGCCCCTAAAGCAGACACAGCCCCCTGGCCTGACTGGAGTGGGGGCACGGCTCTAGAGCCCCCCAAAACGGACGCAGCTCCCCAAAAGCCACAAAGCCCCCCAAAAGGGACACGCGAACACACAGCTCTAGAGCCCCCAAAAAGGCACAGAGCCCCCAAAACAGACACAGCTTCCCAAAAAGGACAGAGCCCCCCAAAACAGACACAGCTCCCCTCCTGCTCAGGGTGGTGCCTCGCAGCTCTAGAGAACCCCAAGAAGGACACAGGGGCACAGCTCTAGAGCCCCCCAAAAGCGACACAGCCCCCCCCCCGGGGCCGGGGAGAGCGGCACAGCTCTGGAACCCCCCCAAAACGCCACCTCCGTCCCCGCAGCCCATCCGCGTCGCATCGCGCCTTCGCCAGGCAGCGGGAAATGGAGCCCGCGGTGTTTATGTAACAACCCCCCCCCCCCCCCATTTTGGGGAGCCCCGGCAGCACCGAGGGGTGTCGGGGTAGGGGGGGGCAGCCGGAGGAGGGGGTGCCACACGCTGCCACCCCCTCGGGGACACGGAGCCACCAGCACCGCGCCAGGGAAAGGCAACACCGGGATGGGCCATAATCCGACACATTCACAGGCATCCAGGGTGGGGACCCCCCCAGCGGCGTGGGGGCCCCCCAACTCTTCGGGGTGCCCAGGGAAAGGCAACACCGGGATGGGCCATAATCCGACACATTCACAGGCATCCAGGGTGGGGACCCCCCCAGCGGTGTGGGGACCCCCCAAAAGAAAGGGGTTCAGCCTCCTGTGACCCCCCCAGCGTGGGGTGGGTTCCTGGGGAGCACCTGCGCCCCCACACCCATGGGTATGACCCTAAACCTGAAACCCCCCCCCCAGCGTGGCCACCAAGCTCGCTCCGCCGCCGCAGGGACCCCAACATTCCCCCGGTACCGGAGCCTCCGCCAGCCCCCCAAACATGCACCGCGCGTCTCCCCCCGGTACCGGAGGTGTCCCAGAGGCTCAGTTCCACCCGCTGCTCCTCGCTGGCCAGACACGCCGTGTAGTTCTCAAACACGGTGGGCACGTACGTCTGCAACGGCACCGGGAGCGTCAGCGCCCGGTCCCGCTTTACCGGCGCCCGCTGCCGGTTCCCGAGTGCCGCCCTGGGCTCACCTCTGGGTAGCAATCCTTGGCCAGCACTTGCAGCATGGCCGTCTTGCCGCACTGCACGTCACCCACCAGCACCAGCTTGCACCGGGCCGGTGCGGCCGGTGCCGGCCTCCGCTCCCGCATGGCGGCAGCGCGCACAGACCCACCGCGCTCGCACCCACCCACCGCCCTGCGCCCCGCCGCCGCAGCGCCCTTATATACCCCGCCGCCTGCAGGGCCCGCCCACGGCGGAGCCAGCCCGCCAATCAGCGCGGGGAATCCCGGAGCGCCGGCCAATAGCGGAGAGGGAGAAGCGGCGGGACACGCCCCGTGTGGGGGTGCGAGCGCGCTCCTGCCCGCCAGGGGGAGCCCGTGCGGGTCAGGGCGGAAGTGCCGCGGAGGCCCCGCCCCCGAGCGGCCGTTGCCGGGAGACCGGAGGGACGCGGAGCGGGGCCGGTACCGGAACGGTACCGGGGGAAAACGGGGGGAGGGAGACCCCCCCAAAGGCAGTGGGAAAGGGGCGGTGGATGCTGGGGGAGCGTGGGAGGGAGGGAGGGTGAGCTAGGAGGGCTCTGGAGACGGGGTTGGGCAGCGGGAAATGGGCCTTGGGGCCTGGGGATGGAGGTGGGAACGGGTCTGGGGGGTCCCTGCAAGGGGAGAGGGGGCAACAAGGGGTTGGTGGGGTCTGGGGGTACTCCTAAGTGGAGGGGCAAGGAGCCTGGGGAGGCAGATGGGGGTGGGCAGAAGGTTGTGGGGTGCACCATAGTGCGGGGGGCTGGGCAGGGGGAACGGGCCTTGCTGGGGGGCAGCGGAGGGGTCACCACGCACACCCCGACCCCTCCTGCCGTGTCCCCCTGCGCAGCCATGGCGGGTTCCCGTCTCACTGCCCCCACGGCGGCCGAGGCCGAGCTGCTGCTGCTGCAGAGACAAGCGCTGGCCGAGGAGGAGGCGGCCAAAGCCAAGCGGGAGCTGCTCACTCGCTTCCTGCAGGTCCAGAACCCCCCCGCAGCCCCCCTGACCCCTCCAAACTCCACCCCGCTTTTCCCCAGCCATCATCCCCCCACCAGGGCTGGGGCTGCCCCTGTTCTGCTGCACCCCCTGGTAGCAGAGGCAGCCCCAAGCCCACTCCTGCCCTTTTCCCACCTCCCACGGCCCCTCCACAGGAGAAATTGTCCCGGGAGGAGCAGAGCAGCAGGTGGGGTCTGCACAGGGTCCTGACGCTCTGGCGCTCGGCCCAGCGCAAGACCAAGGACCAGGAGCTGCGCCAGGACATCGAGATCCTCAGCCAGACCTTCACACGGGTCATGGACTGCAAGGACGGCGCCATTGAGGTGGCCCTGAGGGATGGCAGGGTGGAGTGGCATGCCAGGGGACATGTGTGACCCCCCCCAAAAACTCCCCAGGCGCTGGTGACGGAGCTGCAGGAAGCAGAGGAGCAGCAGAACCGAGCCCTGTGCAGCCACCTGGACCTCACAGACCAACTGCTGCACCTCCAGCGCTGCCGCCTGGGCTACTTGGAGCAAGGGTTCAGTGCCCAGGTGGGCGCCCTGAAGGCCGAGTTTGAGGCTGAGAGGTGTGGAATTTCAGGGGGGAGAAGGAGAACGGGGCAGCAGCGGCACTCATGGGGTGTCCTGGAGTGGAGCCGAGCCTCCCCTGGCCTCATGGGGAGCCCTGAAGTGTCTTTGTCAGGGGGGAAACCTCTTTGCCCTGCTTTGTGTCCCCACAGGAAGGCCATGCTGGAGCAGCAGGACTGGGAAAGCCGGGTCCTGCAGGACATGGCGCTGGCCATGGAGCAGGACCACGCCAGGAACGAGCAGGAGGCCTTGCTGAACTTCCAGAGCGCCCGGGACGACATCAAAAACAAGGCAAGGGGGCACAGGGGGTGGCACGGAGGGGCTGGCAGGGCTGGCAGGGGACGCCTGGCGGTGTGACCTGTGTGTCCCCAGAGCTGGCAGGATCAGCAGTACAGCAGGCTGCAGCTGGTGGCCAGGCTGGAGGGGCTGTGGGAGCAGATCCAGACAGCACGGAGGAGCTACACCCAGGCCACGGAGAAGAAGAAGGTGGAGTTTGAGGAGCTGAAGAGGAAGTGTGAGAAGACTTCCTGCGAGATTAACGTCCAGGCCAAGAGGCTGGAGAAGCTCCAGGTTTTGGCAGGGTGCTGGGTGGTCCTGGGAGTGGGGTCAGCCTCGTTTTCCTCACTCATTTTTCCATGGGATCATGGAATTGTTGAGGTTGGGAAAGCCCCTGAGAGCCATCAAGCCCAACGTGGCACTGGCAAGGAGGTGACAACAGGCCAGGCTAAGCAGGAGTCCCCCCAAGAGTTTGTGGAGCAGTGCCTGAGCCATGGAATCATGGAATTATTGAGGTTGGAAAGTCTCTAAGGCCATCAAGTCCAATTCTCTCAGCACTGCCAGGGCCACCACTAAACCACGTCCCCAGGGGCCACATCCACGTGGTTTCTGAGCACTTCCAGGGACTGTGCCTCCACCACCGCCCTGAACAGCCCATTCCAAAGCTGGCCCACCCTTTCCAAGAAGGAATTTTCCCCAACAGCCTCCCCGCTGTTTCACCAGGACATGGTTACGACCACTAGGGGCCAGATCGCGGCTCACCTGCGGAAGAACGAGGAGCAAACTCAGCGCATCCGGGACGATCGGGAACACGCCCTCCAGAAACTCCTGAAGCTCCGGGCTCAGATCACCCAGGCGGGGGCCACGGCTCACACCCACCTGGTCACGCTCACCTGCCAGTGCAGTGCCACCCTCAAGGTGCTGCAGCAGGTGGTGGAGAAGGTGAGTGGGGATGTCCCTGTGTCGCCCTGTGTCCTGCTGTCCCCTCCCACCTGCCCATCCCGGTGTTCCCCCCCTCCAGGCTCAGCGCATCCTACGCCTGGCTGAGATGTGCCGCAGGCTGGAGACGGAGGAGGAGAAGGTTCTGCCCTTCTACCCCTCCTCACTGGCCGAGTGGGAGCAGCAAAAAGTCCGCGACGTCCTGGATGAGACGGCCAGTGAGCCCCTGGCACGGGTGAGGTGGCACTGCCACAGTCCTCAGGGAACAAGGGCTGGCATTCAGCCCTGGGGATCCCCCAGCTGGTGTTTGGGCAGGCTGGAGACCCCAGACTCTCCCTGCTGCCTCCCCCCAGGTCATGAGGGACTACATGGGGCTGGAGAGGTTCTGGCAGCGTTTCAACAAGGCGAAGCTGGAGGAGAAGGGGCTGGAGAGGGCACGGGCAGCCCTGGCAGACAGGAACCAGGAGCTGAGGAGGCTCCTCCAGCAGTACCTGGCAGGGGCTACAGTCAAGCAGAAGGTGCCCAAAGACCCCCACCCACTCCTTGCCACCAAGCAAAAGCCTCACCCCCAGAAATGAGCCCCACGTTGTGGGGGAGCCACGCTCAGGGACGCTGGGCATGGTGCACCCCTAGAGCTTTTGGGGAGGGGTCAACTACCAGGACCCTTTTCCTGGCTCCAGCTGAGGCTCCCTGGCAGACCTGCCTGGTGTTTGGGGACTCAGGGACTGTCACTTCCTGGATATGCCTTAAAAGAGCAAAACTGCCTGAAAAATGTGCTCTGGGGTCTTATTTCTGGGATTTGTTGAGTCTGTAACCTCCTGCTCAGGTCTGACAGGACCCATCAAGGCCCTGGGGCAGGCAGGGAGGAGAGCTGAGGGGTGCACAGCCCCTTCCCACTGCCCTGTGCCCATCACTGTCTCAGGAAGAGCAGCCACAGATGCCGAGGGGAAGGTTTTATTTCTTTTTGGCTTTGTTCCTCTTCTCCTCCTTCTGCTTTTTCTTGGAGAGCTTGGGGCTGCTGGCCTTGCGGTACAGGTGGAACCCAATGAGCCCCAGCAGTGCTGGCACCAGCCCCAGGCACAGCAGTGGCACCACCTCGTTCACCACCTTCTGCCAGTAACTGGCCCGGGACAACCCCACCAGCTCCACCTCGAAGCGCAGCACGGCGTCACCTGCAAGGGGGGCACAGCCTGAGCGGGGACCCCACAGAGACCCCCAGGGGGACCCTGAGGGCTGCACTCACCTGGGATGGTTGGGGGGGAGCCCCGCTTGCCATAGGCTAAGTGAGGGGGAATGATGGCTCTGCGCTTCTCCCTGCCACAGTGAGAGTGTTGGTGCCACAAATGGTGCTGGGGACACTGTGGGGGGGGGGGACACTGCCCACCCTCATGTCCCCCATCCACACTTACCCCACACACATGTCCAGCAGACTCTGCTCCAGACCTGTAACACAGTGGGGTGAGGGTGGGTGGGGCTGGTCGGGGTTACCCTGGTGACCCCCCAGCCCTGCTCCCCCTGACCCCTCACTCACCAGGGATGACTTGGTGCTTGCCCAGCTCCACCTGCAGGGGGTCCCGGCTCAGAGAGGAGTCGATGATCCGGCCATCCTCCAGGCTGCCCTGTGGGGGGCACGGCCACGGTCACTGCCATGGTCACCCCTGGGTGGCACTTTCTCCATGTGGCTGCCAGCGTGTTCCCAGTGCTGTTCTGGTGCTGATCCCAGTCCCTGTGGCCCTTCTGTGCCACCCCTGTGCTGATCCCAATCCTTGTGCTGATCCCAGTCCCTGTGCCATCCCTGTGCCCATCCCAGTCCCTGTGCCATACCTGTGCCATCCCTGTGCTGATCCCAGCGCCTGTGTCACCCCTGGTCCCAGCCCCTGTGCCACCCCTGATCCCAGTCCCTGTGCCATCCCTGTGCTGATCCCAGCCCCTGTGCCACCCCTGATCCCAGTCCCTGTGCCATCCCTGTGCTGATCCCAGCCCCTGTGCCATCCCTGTGCTGATCCCAGCCCCTATGTCACCCCTGATCCCAGCCCCTGTGCCACCCCTGATCCCAGTCCCGGTACACTCCGTGCCCCTCTGGGACATCCTCCCCGCTCCCAGTCCCTGTGCCATCCCAAGGTAATCCTCGTGCTGATCCCAGTGCCAGCCATGCCCATCCTGGGGCTGTGCCAGCCCCAGTGTCACTCCTGTGCCACTCCAGGTGCCACCCAGAGCCCATCCTGGGGCTGTCCCCATGCCAGTCTCAGTGGCACCATGGCACCATCCCCTTATGCCCACCCCGCTACCACCCCTACACTCACTCCGGTTCCACCCCGGTACCGCCCCATTTCCCACCCTGGTACCACCCCCGGTACCGCCCCGGTGCCGGCCGAGCCCCCCCCTGCCGGTGCCGGT